GGTTTATATATAAAAGGGAACATCACTTGTCTTTAAAAGCTTTGTCCAATCATGAGAACTATTCTATCAAATCTTGACGACAGTTCATCTGAATTATTTTGCTATCGAATTAAATTAACAAAGAAACTATGTAATTGGAACAATCATCGTGTTTTCAGTCTCCGTTGTCTGGAACAAAATGCATATCCTAAATCCGTAGCTGTCGAGTCACCTGACAACTCCAGTAGGTCGAATAAAGCAGCTCAATCTTCAGAAAGAAGACAAAGCAGTAAGTCCGACAGGGTGCTTCTACTAAACTCTAATCCTAAACACCATAATTTTGAAAATACGTCTAATCATAAAATTCTAGATACTAACAGTTTGAACAGACATGAAGGTGTGATGTTAGCTGATGCATAGGAAATCCTGATTAATAAATAAAAATGGATATGTATCACTAATTATTAATACTTGGTCAAAATTCTCGACTGTCCATATCTTCTTATGGAGACGTCAAGAAATGTTTTACAACTGTTTACCCACACACACATACACACTCTGTTTAAAGTGTTTAACAAAGGTAGACCAATATTTGTAAGTCCGAGGTCAAATTTTGATCACAGCTCATAAAATTTTGTTTATTATACTTGTTGATACTTTTTGAATGACTCATGATTGGACAAATGTTTTTAAAAACAAGTAATGTTCCCTTTTATATATGAAACTCTGTTATGTTAATTTCGATTAATTTCCCTGAAGAAGTTCAGACCAGATTGCCGAACGAAACGTTGGAATTACTCATTTCAATCTCGCTGAGATTTTACAAATATAATTTCTTTTACAAATGTCTAAGCTGTAAAATGCTAAAATGAAAGGTGAATAGGAAAAAAAGAAGGTATCACACTTTTTACCACTGTGTTGATTTTTAAGAAAGGAGTCACTTGTAATTATAGTCTCGAGCAAGACTATTACCTATTTCAGGACGGACCACTAAATGGCCAACACCAGCCTAGAGACCACCGAATCAATTGTTTCCAGTACTCTTCATCTCATATCGATTCGTGATTTATGCTGAAGTAAATCACATCTCCGAGAACCAACACTTGGAAACTACCAATAATTAGTTATCGATAGGTCAACTGTACATCAAGTACAGTCAGATACAAAATAAGTGATTCAGCGATCAAACGTGTTAGCAGTTCTATTTCTGTGCTTATTTTCTACTTACAGAAACAACATAAAAAGGAGAGAGGAAATTCATACCTCAGGTAAATAAATGAAGCAATTAGCGGTGAAAAGTTAAGCAGGTATCAGGGTAGATTGTTGAAACATTTCGAACCATATTATAATACAGCGATACATTTCCATTTTCACTCTGTTTTCTTCAGTCCATTTTAGCTAGCTCCATGATCATGCATAAGCTCACATTTCTTCCCTAAACATTCTCCTTGATGCCATTCTCGAACCAGAGCTCAGCTTATTGTATCCCATCCACAAGAAGTTCCTGAACGTTGTGTCACTTGATAGTATTCTCAGATTGTGTGTGTAACCCATTTTCATGTTCTTCAGCTTATCTCTTGGACAATATGTTCTTTGTAGCCTTTCCGTCACAGATCCCTGCTGCTTATCTTTTCTGTCCATCTGATCTTCAGTATGGAATATAAAATAGGCACTTGTTGATGAAACTTGGCGATAGCCTGTTGCAAGTACTTTCCATTCAAGTCAAATCTGTGGATTGATATTAAGGCCACCAATTTGGATGTTGTTCCGCATGTTTAATGTAACAAATTTCCTGACTTCGACATTCTCATCTGTGTCACCTGTAGTTGAATTAATTCTGCCCAAAAAAGTGATTGGTGCTTTTTGTGCTGCTGGTCAGGCCTCTTTATCCCCTCCGTCTTCTCTATGTTCCTTTGAATTTTTGTCTTCACTCTACATTTTGTCAAATTATTAGTTTTCACATGTAGGTCTTAGAGTTTATATGAAACCAGACGTAAATCATCCGGGAAATTCAGATCTTCTAGAGTCTTTTCGTCAATCTGTCGAATAATCCAGTCGACTACAGTCAGCAGTTCCAGCAGTATCATTTTGAACTCAATAAATCTGTTAATTAAATGAGCCGAACAACAATGTTGTAAATGTCCTATGTGATGACTGAAGGCAGTAGTATCTGAGCCAGTCACCTCTGAGGTAGTAGAATAATGCTCAACCAGCTAAGCTGTTATACCCAGCTGCTAGTCAGAATTTCGTTTACTACAGTCACCATAAGTTATAACAAGTGATTGCATAATATGCTACTGTCCATCTAATATCAGACTAACTGCCTGGTTAGGTATCTTGTTGTGAAAAACCGTGATTACCAATGATGGTTACTGTCAATTATTATAATTTTTGATGTATTGGAGGTACAACCTCGGGTAGAAACCGAATGGGAAACAAAAATCCGGCTGTCACTATGAGGGTGATATTGAGGAGATCATATGGCGAGGAGCTTAAAGTTCATGGGCAGTCATGAAACCAACTAAGAAAGGAATAGGGGGACGACAGTGAAATAGAGATGTGCTGTATGAAGCCATGTATTCCATTTGGAACCCTGAAAGAAATAACAATAATTAAAACATTTTGCCAGTTCGATATCAAATATCTTCTTGAATATCTAATACTGACAAATAAATATGTAAAAACAAACGACTGCAAAATCCTTACCCATGATTTTCGCATGTCTTTGATTTTCATTCTTTATGAGCATATGATCAGATGGTGTTGAGAAGACTATTCAATCATAAATTAATTAAAAATTATCGAACTGATTTTTCATCAGTAACACAAAAGGGTCATTTACAACAAACAACCTTGAAAAGGTTAAACGAAACGTATCTTGACTGATAGACAATTTGAACTTTATTCATGATTATTGTTGTTATTATTAATGGCACGATTACATTTCAAATCAATAAATGAGTAATGATAATGTTCTTTAAACAGACGAAATGAACTCATTTTAATATTTATAAAATTGAAATAAACCATGTGATTGTGTTTAAAAATCAATAAACCTTACCGATTTCTCTGTCCATGCTTGTTGCGGAAAACATTTTGGATAACATTGTCTATTTCAGTACCTATTCAACACTGGAATAAATATATAGTGATTGTTCGTCTCATGGATAACTTATTCAAGAACTAACATTTCCTGGAAGTTTTCGAACTTTAAAACAGTTGGTTTTTATATAGAACTTCTTTTAGAATGGTATTGGATTTCTTGTTTTGAAGTTTGTCCAGCATGCACTTAGTCTTCATCGGTCCTCTTGTGACATACTAGCAAATAGCGTTAGTTATTCCTCTTCCCTCATAAATCCTCATCACTTGTTCTTAGTATAACACGTCTTATTCTCTGTCTTCCTCTTTACCTGACCTCACGATCGCCCATAGGCTATCGTCTCTACATCACACGATCTCCTCCATGCCAGCTTCAATGTTACTGCCAAGTTGTTGTTTTGTATGACAGTTCAACTCCATGGTTTGCTTGTCGTGCGGTCTTACCGGTGTGTGTCCTATCCATCTGAATTATCTTCGACATTTTTATTGGGCGTTAGGCTCTCGCCTGTTGACTCGTTCTCACAGTTCCCCGTTGGTCTTTCTTTTCAGCTATCTAATCTTCACTATGAAGCCATAGATGGTGGCTTTTCATTAAAGTCTCCTCGTGACACGTCAAGTTTCTAATCCATGTGAGGGAAATGATTAAATCGAATTTTGTTCTTTATAGCGAGTTCACTAGATTTCCAAACTGATTTCCGAATGATGGAGGTGTGCCTCACCCCTCCGATTCTGCTTTCAAAACCCTTATCCGCTCCACTGCCTGCATTTAAAACGATTCTGCTTAGGTCGGTGAAGGAAACGACCTCTTTCAAATTTATTCCATTGTTAGGGATTGCTGTGTGTTGCTGTTTGTTGGTTATCTTCATCACCTCTGTGTTTTCCATGTTCACCGGAATTTCTGTCTTCGCTAGCTGTCAGTTCTTCTTTTTTGTCTCCACCTGTAAGTGTTCGAGTTTGTGAGACATCAAAAGTAGTTCGTGAAGTGTAGGTCTTCTAGGATCTTCCTATCGTTCTGACATATTCCTGTCTTCTCACTCCCCACTCACGGTCTTCCACACAATCCAGTCAACCACAATTAGGAATATCATTGGTGATTGCAGACAGTGACCTTGTCCTTCCCTGGTTTTCACTCCAATGAATTAGTTGAGTTTTCTGTGCCAGTGGCAAATGGCTGTAGATTGAAGTTGGTGAGGATTCGGGGCACTCTATAGTGATGAAGTAGTCTTCAAATAACTTCACAGTCAACGGGGTTGAAGGCCTTTCCAAAGTCGATAAAGTTGAGGTAGAGGTTTGACGTACATTCTATGCTCTGTTCGACGATGGTGCTTAGAGTGTCTATTCTTTCCGCACACGATTTGCTTTTTCCTGAATCCATATTTTTTTGGGAGTTCTGCATCTAGTGCATCCTTTAGCCTCTTCAGGATGACTCGACTTACTGTTTTTTACTTGGCGCGGACAGAAGCATGATTCAGCGAGAGTTCTTGCAATGGCCCAAGTTGCGGGATTTTAGCACACTGTAGTCTCTGTCATTTGCCTTCACCGACTACACATAAGCTTCCATCTGCTTCTCACATGACCTTCTCAACATCACTCTTACACCTAACTCATCGTTTTGAATTCGAGTTCAGCTAGTGGTTCTGTCTGGCGTGTAGTGTCACTCAGTGGTTTTCTTAGCTTGTATTCAATTCATCTTCATTTTCTTCTGCATATTTGCTGAGCGACAGGTTCTTGCTCAACTGGCTAGTTCCTAGAATTCCTTGTTAATCATGCTTTCTCGTCTGCCACTGGATCTTCAGTATCAGTTGAAGGCACGTTTAAATACATTACATTGACTTGTTATTCATTTCCTTTCAAAACATAAACTTTAATTGTTTATTTTATTACTCTTATTACTGTTATAGTAAGAAAATACTACAAACAACATGGATGAGGAGATTACAGAAAAAACGGAATTCGAAGTAGCAATGAAAAGAAAGCCGACAAATATATGTTTGCAATCAATTAAGGCAATGTTGAGCAGTCGAAAAATGATTGCGATTATTGTCTTTCTTACAATTCTTCTTGACAATATGTTATTAACATCTATCAGTAAGTGCTTGTTTTGTTGTAGCCGAGTATTAAATTCCTTTCATATATTTACGATTACATTATATCGTATGGTGATATACGAAAGTTAGAATTCATGAACGATTGAGTCAGATCCTAATTGCTGAATCGTCTTGCGAGTGGGAGGTCCTGTCTCCAAACTACATTATATGTGTATTGGAGATGAGTTTCAAACTAGGACTGGACATCTGCCAAGTCCCGCGCGGTCAGAGCTGAAACAGATCAAATCCCGGTGAACTAGCTCTTGAAAATATACAGAAGATTTGAATGCACTGCATGTCGATGGGTATTGAAGATTGTTCCATTGTTCTATTTGAAGGTTATATGGTTGGAGGCATTCTACAGAAGGTTTCGGTACATACCATCAATGTTTCGGTACATAGGTTTTTGTACATGCTGGTGGTCGTTTGATAGGCGTGTCTACAACATCCAAAAAGGAAATGTTGCCTTCAACCATGAGACTCCAACCGGAGACACTCATCAATTCAGTCAGTGGTGTTACCATTGACTCTCTTGGAAACGCTGTCAACGGAGAGCTAGCATTGCATTAATCAACGCCTTAGTTTTGGTGTCTGACTTAATTCTATGCAGCTAATATCATAATGATTGAGAATGTGAAGCCAATTTATCAATCTAAGCTCTTCGATTATGTGAAAAATGACGCCACATCCCACTGTAACTATCAACTTGCATGTACGTGTGGCCACACATACATGGGGAGGACTCATCGATTTTTGCAAGTAAGGCCTGGCTCCACAAGCAAATAGAATCCTCAGAACTCACTAATGGTGAGAACAGGAGAGCTATCTCCTCTATTGCGAAACACATTATAGAGACAGGACATAAAATTAATGTTTACACACCTTTTAAACCTATCTGTAAAGCGTGTTTAGGGTAGGGTGTATCGTAAAGTCTTTGGAAGCCTCAGTTGGCAACTAGAAAGTTTAAACCACCTTTATGCGTCCATCAAAAACAATTAGTTATAACACGAAACTTCCCATGGTGAACTTTGTTTTGATACCATAGCAAATGTAATATCACATCTGCTATTTGGTTTAGTGGTCCTCATTGTTATTTTGACTCGCAGTGTGTCCTTTTAACTTGACCTAAGTCTATTTTCTCACCTCTTACCTCTTTATCAATTTCATATATCTTCCTATGACAAGTCCGTGTGTGATCAGATTGTTCGGAATGTATTGCGCAAATACATTACATTACACACACGATTCAGACAGACAAATTACGTCTTCTTATTGCTTTATCTTAATTCTATGAGTCAACTTTGTGATAAGCTCACCAAACTATGTGACTAACAACAGCAATAAACTTTTAGATGGTTAAGGTCAATCAGTAGGAATCTCCAGACCTAGGATACATGTAAATATTTGAAATGCACACAGTTGTTTTTGCTTGAAGGAGCAGTCTTCATAGGTAACATCAATTCCCCTGAAGAAAGTGGGATGATAAAACTCTTTCGAAGGTAATTGGATAACTCATTTTAACACTGTGATGAAAAATTCAAGGCAACTAGTTGAGTAAAGCTCATGCTTTCAAGGTTGAATTTTACCTTCGAATTAAAACTTCAGTATCTAACAGTGAATAGAATAATAATTTCATGGGCAATTTTCATTTCAATCGTTATTTGAATCAGATGCATCCTAAATATCTTGTGGACAACCTTGTAGTACTAGAAGTCACGTATAGAGGGTTCCAGCTTCAGTGGAATCACCAATCATCACAGATAATTAACAAAGCCATGCAAAACAGAGAGCTGAATGGAGAGGCAGTGGGATCTCAACTGGGTCCCATGTTGGCAGATTTCTTCCCAAGTAAACTAGAAAATTATCCGTTGAGCAACGTTATCAGAAAATCCTCATTTTGGATGAAACTTTCAGACTATGTGCAAATGATTTGGACAGGAACTCACAAATATCTCAATTCAATGAAGTATATGCATTGATCAAATTCACATGTGTTGAAGGATTCCTATGTAAAACTGCCATTTTAGACGTTCTGCTGATAAGAAGACAGGTTGGTCGTATAATAAGAACTATGTGTATATAAAGGTACTTGGATAAATCAATATATACATTTTCACAGTTTTGTTCCCTCCTGGTATAAAGAACCCTCAGCAGTAAGGTCAGAGCTCTTGGTTATGAAGATGAGATTGAAGGAAAACTTGAGTTTTTATACTGCATTCTAATTGAAAAACAGGTACTCTAAAAGACTCACCTCTAAACACAGAGTAGAAAATAATGTTTCAGTATTTGTTAACAGGAAGCCTCTGTATTTATACGACTACAAGTGAAAAGTGATATACCAATTGAAATAATAGCGAACAGGTTTAGAAAATCTATTCAAAGAATGTCTAATGCCTGAAAGTTGCAGCTCATATTTTCCATACGACCACCGCATGTTATTCCCCAGCTAAAAGACGAAGTAATTACGCCAGCCAGACACTACATCTGTTAATTCAAAGGCTCTCCTGTGGAGCGAGTTGTATTGGCTGCCAGCTTCTCTAGGAAGTTAATTTTTCATAATCCGTCAGCTAATCTGTGTGACGTGGATTACCTCATCAAAACAGACCGTAAAGGTATCACTGAGTGATCTTTCTGTGCTATCTACCATTTATTGAACAGATTGACAAAGGCGTCTTGATATCTAAGATTGCAAACAGAAGAGGTGGTTGCAATTGGCTTAAACCAACTGGAGCTCTGCATGCGAAAGAAACAGATCAAGTTACTAATGCTATTTTGGTCCACTGACAAACCTATCAATTCATAAATTCTCTGTTTCTCACCTTAATTTATCTGATATTTGGTTAAATGTTATAATAATGCATATAATATCTCTCTTACGGATGCTTTTGAAATGCATTCTGCCAATAATATTGATTTGGTGTGCGTCGGTGGCATAGTGGTTAGGACTATCGCCGACCATGCACATGGTCCGGGGTTCGATCCCCAGCCGAAGCACTCCCTTACCTCGCTGAGCCAGAAATAAGGCTGGTAAAGAGGAAAGGTTGGGCATGAGGCTAGCAACCCCATCCTGTAAAATAAACACTGCTACAGAAACTCCAAGCCACTAGCTTGAAGCCCTATGTTCCACTGGGGAACGTGAAGGAAATAAAAAAATTGATTTGGTGTAACTCTAAACATTACTGTTGTTAATAGGAATATTTCTTTAATTAATATTGCTGTCGTAAAAATGTAGAACAGTGTGTAAATGTGAAACTCAGGTTTATAGAAAATCAACTAACATGGACCAAATACCCAATTACAACAGTAACAATCCAATAACACACAAATGAATTACATACAAACACTAATCAACAGAGAAATCCAGGACTCATTGCAGCACTCCTACCTTAAAGAAAACTGAAGAAAGATATCTCATGAACGTCTTCCAAAAGAATGGATATCCACAGAACTTCATCAAATAACATCTACCTGCAAGCCAAACTACCAAATCAAAGGCCCTCAAGAAAAGTACTAAGAAAAAACATCTCAGAAATTACTCCAAGACTCTTGAAACCTTTAGGAATTGATGTCACACACAAATCAATAAAATCACTTTACTCAACCTCGTATTTATCAAAAGACTCAACAACGAAAGGAGATAAAACCAACATCATCCGCAATATAAATTGCAACGACTGTGAAAAACACTACAGTAGCCAAAGTGGATGCCCCTCCTCTAAGTCTTTGGATTCATAAACATAAACTAATCGTCGAAAGACATGACATTCACTCCCTGATATCGCTACATACAGGCAATCACAGACATCAATTCGAGTGGGACAATCAACGTCCAAATATTAGACAGAGGAAACACCAAGAACGCCAGAGAACTTTTAGAAGCCTGTACGGTATTTCAGTGAAAAGTCAATCAATAGACATATTGATATTGACAAAATTAACCAACCGAGGAGAAAGAAATCTCACACACAAAATGTCAAATTTCAGGTCAAGGAAACAATCAGCACCAAAACAAGTAGCCTAGAAGATGTGAAAACACACAAAAGCGACCAATTATGTTCAAAGTCACCCACCAGGAGAGATGATTAATCAACTCGTGGAGAAGTCTATAAGCTCACTTCATCGAATTGAAGTACGCGCTGAAGATATTGCCTAGTAAGGCAATGAAATCTTCGCAAATGAACCATCCAGCCAGCTCAAGGAAACATAACTACTTTCAAATGTAGAACATGATGACGAATTTATCCAAAAGAATATTCTTTGTTTATTAGTCTTTACAGAATCTTCAGAGTAATTTCTTGTAAAACGTTTGCTGTGAACGTTTAGAATCTTCAAATAACTATTCATCGAAAGGAATATCGCACGACGCAATCGTATTCAATATGGAATGAGACGTAGTTATCTAGAGAAAAGCAGTAGGTTAGAAGCCAGTTAAAAGTTTGCTTGAGCTCGTGTTGCACACCAAAGATACAATTGGGATATTAAAATAATAAGGACCAGATAAAAGTAGATGCCGGATGGAAATTTAGGTAGTGCAGTTGTTCAAGCAAGGCGCCAGTAAAACTCTACAAAACATTTAAACTTGTAGAATTGGACATTCTGTCTAAAATGTTGGACTGTCTACAGTGCTACTAACTGTAGTAACATAACTGCTAAAGTGAATGGCATTCAAGTACAAATGTCTATTGTTAGTTTGTGTCTATAAGTTATATGATTATTTCACTAATAAATTAGGAGGTCACCAAAAATACCCATAGATTCATGAAGAAAATATGGGACAATTCAGCGAAGAGAATTTTCTTTATCGACGAAATCATCAACTTCGCAGGCTGGCTGTACAGTCGTATTTATATTTACCAAAAATATATAGTAGTCTGTCGTTGAGTAATAGGCGGTGACAAAACTGATATAATTACTCGTAAGTGGCTTTAGAAGTGAAAAATAAAAGTGATAAACTACGTATTATTCAGGTGCGGCGGTGGTAAAGTGGTTAGGACGCTCGCCGACCATGCACATGGTCCGGGGTTCAATCCCCGGTGGATGCACTCCATTACCCGCTGATCCAGAAATAAGGCTGGTAAAGAGGAAAGGTTGGGCATGAGGCCAGCAACCCCATCCTGTAAAATAAACACTGCTGCAGAAACTCCAAGCCACTAGCTTGAAGCCCTATGTTCCTCTAGGGAAAGTGAAGGAAAAAAACGTAGCACTCAACAACGACACAAAGGAAGAAAGGGTTGGAAATTTGATGAGGTTAAAATTGTTACTGAGTGAGAAGAAAGATGATGGTTGAATATATCCATTTAACAAGAGTGATGAGGGTGTAAAAATGTTCAAAAGGAACATATGAGAGTGATAATAATGAATTAATTATTAAAGTAAAAGCGAAGTATTCATTAAAAATATAAAATTTTTTACGGAGAACGACCAATGAAGGGTTTCAGACCATGGCAGAATAAGACACTGGACAGACATTTTCTGTATACAAAGTTCGGCGTTGTATAGACGAATTGCCAACGCCTCCGCCATACACAAATACCGAAACCTGACGCCGTTTCTACCATTCGGCCTAACCCTATAGAGAATCTTGAAAGACGACTGTGGTGGAACTGCAATTTCTTGAGTTTACCAAGTGCTTGAAAAATGAGCTATTAATTGTCATGCACTGTCCTTTTGCTAACCATGCCGGATAATGTTCAGAGATGCATTTTGAAAGCCTGCGCTTTGTGCAGCCAATATAGCTAGCTCCACACGAGCAGGTGAATTCATAAACACACATTAAACTGGGCCACAGCAAAAGTTTGTCCTTCACAAATCCATTATTCATTTGTGTCTATAGAAATTGATCCGTAGCTCAGCAGTAAAGAAGGCTCTTCTTAGAAGAGAAAAGGTGCTGAAGTCACCAAATGGATTAACTTAAATAGTGGTATTACTTTGACTACCTGCCAAATACAGTCTTTGGATAAACAGAACTAAAAGCAAAGTCGTTTTAGAGCATATTGCAGTACCCTATTTATATTTTGCCACAGCTTTTTAACTATTCCCACATGCCTAAAGGTTTTATTCACAATATGAGCACTGAAAAACGCCTTCCGATTCTAATTACGTCTGACGTGCATATTCTTAGTATAAAAACAAAAGACTTAGTTTTCTCATGTTGGATTTAGCAGTCATCAGCAGTACACGCTAGTGACCCTAGTGAATGGAAGGCAAACTTAGAAACATCACGTTATGAAGCGAGTATCTTACCAGTCAGCCACGAATTTTAACTTGTAACATTTTCGTAACACCACCCTACATTATGAACAGGTTTCATTTGGCGAAGATGTTGATTAGAGTAGAGTTGACTGAGTTTCAACACAGAATACTGTACAGAAGTGTAGCTGCTAAAGTTTCCACATTCCATGTTGCGCAGAAGTCTATGGTAGAAATAATAGAGATATGGGAAAACGTAACTATTTAGTGGATAAAGAAGAACACAAAGAGTTTTTGTACCATCGAGAACGGTTTTCAGCCATATCCCCAGTGGTTCTTAGCATCCTGAGGACCCCAACAAGACGGCTTACACATTATTGAGTGGTTGACTGAAACCACTTGTCAAAGACTGATGCCAGGTTTTCACTTTACCACGCGTAACTCATTTCAACCTAATCCTATATCACTTAACATTGGCTATTGAGGAAGACAATGGTCTGGCATGTGTGGCATTTGTCTTAACCGTTTCAGTCAATGTTGATTCACAAATACATTGACTAACATGCCTTCCATACCAAACAGTCTTCGTCATGACTTAAATTACTGCTTGATTCTGAATAGGAACAGGCTTCCAATTAGTTAACTAGATACACTATTCACGTGTTATGTGCACTAACTAACTAACTAACTAACTAACTAACTAACTAACTAACTAACTAACTAACTAACTAACTAACTAACTAACTAACTAACTAACTAACTAACTAACTAACTAACTAACTAACTAACTAACTAACTAACTAACTAACTAACTAACTAACTAACTAACTAACTAACTAAATAACTAAATAACTAAATAACTAAATAACTAACTAACTAACTAACTAACCTTGAACTTACTAACTAATTCACCTTGAACTTACTAACTAACTTCCAAATAACTATCTAACTGGTTTCAAAATTGTTGTTTGTCTGTATTGCTTTATCTTAAACTGCTAACTGACATTTTTAATGTGGGAAGTTTACCACTTAATTTTTTTCTTTGGTTTTCTGTTTCAGTCCCAGTTGCTCCAAAAATACTGGCTGAGCATCATACAGATAGTGGTATTCTAGAAAAAGAAATGCATGATTGTGAACCAGACAATTCAACTTCAAAAGGTAATAAGTCATGACGGAATTATTTCGTTGAATTGATTTTCTTTTTTGAAAATATCTAACCTCGTTTCTGTTGAAATTCTGTCTTAACCGAATTAAACGACAATCTTTTCTTGGTAGGACAATGTTCCATAAGCAATCAGTCCACCGTTTCAAATCAAAATACGGATGATGAACATTTTGAAGGTGAACATATTCAACTTGGTTTACTGTTCGCTGCGAAACCAATTGTTCAGTTATTATGTAATCCATTAATTGGTCCAATTACAAATAGGTAGGTTTTTGAATGCTTGATTATTGTTATATAAGCATTAATACTCTAGGTAACGCTATTATTGGGTGCCTCGTATTGTTTGATATCATAGAGTGGAGATTCAGAAATTTGCAGCTTGAAGCCGTATATTCCAGTCGGAGCTTAAGGAATGACTTAAATGCTCCCATAGTATTTTACGTTCTTATAAACAAGTTGAATACGGTCAAGCAGTGAATATTATTAAATTTAAAAACATATTTTGTTCATTATGAGAGCCAAGAGATGCATGTGCCTTGAAAAATCTCATAGTCAGTGAGAGGCCTGGGGTCCTACCAAGACGCCCATACAGAAGCACGTAGTTGTTTTAAGGGACTTTCTCCTGCTAAGCCTTTGATTTAAAGTCTGGTCATGGCAAAAGACGATGGCACAGATTCAAGAGGTGATTTCTTATGGTTGACAACAACCCAAATAGCTTCATACAGCTGGCGCCGGGCTCACGGTGGAGGCTCACCATTGCACTTCGGTGGGTTGGAACTCGCGACGGACCTTAAGTGGGTGCTCTCAGGAGTGTAGCTTTTGTCAGTGGGGAGACCTTATGGTCCTCCCTATTTAAGTGCGTTGGTAGCACAGCGGTTAGGACGCTCACCGACCATGCACATGGTCCGGGGTTAGATCCCTGGCTGGCACATACCTGATATCAATGGTCGGCCAGCTGAATTTAGGCTACTGATATCATATGCTAGAAATTCCATAGTAGTACCAAAAATACCGTGTGGAATCAGGCTTTAATGAAAATTGAAAAAATGAAAATAATTTGATCCTTTCGAATTCTACGGCCTATATTTTCACCGTTGGTTTGGGATCAGGGTTTCACTAATTCCCTTAGGTAGACCAGCTTGTTCATCAGATCATTTGTAAGGGCTAGAGTTTCGCAGTGCACCTTCACGTTTGTGAGGAACACCCCTACTGTGTGTGGAGGTGGTAGTGAGTAGGAATTACCTGGCAGATATCATGAATGAGCGGCCGAAACCTACCCATCCTCTGCCATAACAGGCCGTTTATCGGCGACAAGAGGTGACAGTCCTACTAATAAATAGTCTGTTTATCTAGCGGAAATTTCAAATGATGAACAACGCGTAAAGAGATCCTCAGATATAACATCTCCTGCTTGTGTTTACTGGTATACTCATTCACACTTAATTTTTTAGGTAACCATAGACCAGGGGTTCAAGATTGTTGACAGTCATTAGAAACATGCATTGAGAACCTTTAAGAAGCTGATATCCATTTTGAGATTCAAATCCCTTAAGTATTTCACTGGAAGGAGGTCAGTTCCTCAGGAACCTCAGGTGCACAAAAATCTACAGTGGAGGTACTGAGAGATGTTAAAGTTCGTAGGTCACTGGATTCTAATTCAAAGGCTGAATGATCAAATGAATGGCTTGTTTCACAAACTGAAGACATTTTGTTCGATCCTTCAGTGTGTCATTCTGAATAGTCTCAAGCTAGGAGAGGATGGCTGATGATTATACGATGATACTCAAAGATCCTTCAAATGGCATTGTCCCGTGAATAAACTGCTCAAAATCACAAGAAAACATAAAATCTTCATATTATTACTGATGTTCTTATTGGGCAGAATTGAGAATTGGGACAATTACCCAATAATTTATGTTGAATAATATTCCTTAGTGTCTACTTGCTTTTAAGTAAGTGTTTCAGCGGCAGAGTTCTCGCCGACAACGCCACATATTGTCCGGGGTTTAACTTCGGCCGCCACGTTCCTAGAAACGTCGCTTAGCCGGTCACAAATCTGGTAAACAGGTAAGGTTGGGGATGAAGATAGTGACTACGACACGTAAAAATAAAACCCCTGCTTGAAGCTCTTCGCTTCACTCGGGAAGCGAAAACATGGCGATTTCAAGTCTGGTTATAATAGCACTGACTTGTAATCTATAATTTGACGTTAAATTAGAATGCCTTATTTACAACAGACTGTGTAGTCGGTCTTAATCTGTGAGGACTATTCCAAAGGAGTCGACGCGTACACACATACACACACACCTTGTCCACATTTACCTTGATTCTAAGTGATTATGTGCTGTACATCATTGAAAGGATAGATAATATAGTTTGATCTATGTTTAATGTGTGCTTAAATTTTGGTTTTCATTGATTTGATTGATTTCTTGACTGGTCACGAGTGGAATTCAGTCAGAGATCAATAGAAAACCAGGGAATAAGGGATAGGCACAATTCCCTGGTGGGTTCATAGATGAGGAGTGCTCAGGACTTCCAAATAAAGAAGAATCAACCGTCCACTACTCCCTGCTTCTTTCTGGTGGTTCTCTAACTGAAGTTGGTTGGTGATCAGTTTTATAATGTATCTTCAAATGTTCAACAAAGCGTCAGCTACTCCCCTGACTACTCACTTACATCTTACTGATGAGTAGAAAAGAGCAGGGCAATTAACTCATTTGAGGTCCCCTGTCACCTTAAATTATTTTTTACATCATTTATGGGGTTGCTTGACCGTTTTTTCTCTGTCTTGTGTTTCTTTTTTCGATAACAGAATTGGATACAGTATACCAATGTTTACCGGATTCATCATTATGTTTGTCGCAACACTAAGTGAGTTGGTCAGATATTCATATTTCCGTACCAACTTTGAGTAGTGTTATTATTTCCTTGAGTTCCTGATGATGAAACATACAGCTTCAGATACATGCCTTCACTTCACTCTGTCCTCTGCACTCCCCTTAAACTGGCTGCATGATCGCCCATAAGCTTTTATTTTCTCCTCACGTGATCTTCCTTGTGTCACCCCTCAAACTGACTCCCAGTTTGGCAATTTCCCTTCAGATTCCAATTCAAAGCCTGGCTCATGAGGACACTCAATGTTCCAAATTATCTCCATTTGCTGCTCCATATATGTTTCACAATAGGTTCTTGGTTGATACGTTGTCAGAGTTCCTTGTCATGCATTCTTCCTGATCATCGTATCTTCAGTATGATGTGATGCCAGGTATTGATCAAATTCTGCATTAGCTTGTTGGGGTCACTTTTATTGACGCTCCACTAATCAGTATACCTGCGGTCAGACAAGATCTGTTGGTCATATATTCCAGGTAGTCCCCGGGCTGAGTGATGTCATATTCTTGCGCTCTATAGAGTTGAAACAATAAGAAAATTTGTATTTACGACAGATGTTTTTGGTGTGGTTATATTTCCTGAGCAGAGTGGCGTAAATGCAAATCCTTCCGGGCATCATTTTCAGCACCTAATTCATTGTGAAGTGGTGTTTCGTAGAAGGACAGGGAAAGCTGTCCAACTGAACCATATACAGTAGAGAACTTCACCATATCCAAAAGAGCTTAATGTGTGATTTAATAGGAACATGAATGTAGATGAAATTTTTGGAGAAAAAGCCATAAAGAGTGGAAAGTTTGTGTAAGAAACCGAAGTACTGAATGGCAGTGGCTAATTTATCTATGTTGAAGTGACACTCTAGGATAACTCTGCTTATTTCATAGTTTTGTGTTGGTACACTAAATAGTAAGCTACTCGGGAAATGCTCAAAAGCTGCATAAAAATCCGTTTGTATCTAAATGATTCCACGTCACCATTTCATCAGGCAACAAGCAAATATTTGAGAATTCTATTAAATCATGTGGTTTTTAGAAACACTACAGTCTCACCTCAAGTGAAATACAGCCGTTGACAAAGATGAATAAAACTGATGCAATATCATGGAGAAATTTGTAGCTCAGATGGATGATTTTGATGTAGTTGTGTTCTCTCATCTGGATGGTTAATTTACGACGCTTTCATTGTCCTACTACGCAACATCTTCAGCGCATACTTCAATTCTATGAAGTGAGATTTTCGATTTCCCCTCGAGTTCATTAGTCATCTCTCCTGGTAGGTGATCTTGAACGTGATTGGTTGTTTTTTGTGTTTTCATACCCTCTAGTCCACTTGTATTGGTACTGGTGCTGATTGTTTCCTTGATCTGCAGTTTTACCCTTTTTGTATGAGATTTCCTTCTTGTCGATTGATAAATTTTGTCCATTTCATTGTGTCCATAAACTGATGATCCTAAAAATTCTCTAGCATTCTTGGTGCTTCCTTTGTCTAATGTCTGGACGTTGCCCCAGTCGATGTCCATGGTTGTCTGTATGTAGCGATATGCGGGAGTGGATGTCATGTCTTTTGACGGCTAGTTTGTGATCATGGATACGAAGATGAAGGGGACGTCCACTTTGGACAATTTAGTGTTTTTCGCAGTCGTTGCAACCTATTTTGTAGATGATGTTGGTTTTATCCTCTTTCGTTGTTGAGTATTTTGACTGATACGGGGTAAAGTGTAGTGATTTTGTTGGTTTGCGTGCAAGGCCAATTCCTAAATGTTTTAAGAATCTTGCAGTGATTTCAGAGATGTTGTCTTTATATATAATAGAGTGATTTTCTTTGTGTTTTTCTTGAAGTCCTTTGATTTAGTAGGTTGGCTAGGTGGTAGATGTCTTGTGATGAAGTTCCATGGGTAGCCATTCTGTTATAAGACGTTCATTAGATATATTTCTTCAACTTCCTTTAGGTAGGTGGGAGTGCTGCAATGATTTCCGGCTGGCTCTCTTGAATAGTGTTTGTATACAACTCCTTTTGTGTTTTATTGGATTGCTGCTGTTGTAATTGAGTATTTGTTGTGTGTGAGTTGATTTTCAATGAACTTGAATTTCTTATTTCCCTTTAGTTGTTCGCTTGACAGCGACGTTCTCAGATTCCTCTTCTCTTGTGAATTTGATGTCGTTGAAGTTGTTTTTTTCTGTTTATTCTAAATGCTGTATATTTTTTGAAGAATATTTTACATATCACACATAAGTAGTTACAAGATGGATATCTGAACTTTGCTAATGCGAAGTCGCATCTGGTGCGGTTAATCACTTTTAGGTGTTAAAAGATTGTTCATCGATGGATGTGGTTCTATTTTGCGAACTGATAGAAGTTAGAATCCATGGGTCACTGGATTGCAGCACTGCAGCTAAACGGCCAACGGGTTCATTTGATGAACTGATGCTATCGAGAGTTCTACGTTGGGATTAGTCAGTTGTTTAATCACGGACTGGTGTCATCTGAAGAACCATTAAAAGACCAGGGATAACTTAAAATCTGGTTCGTCTTTGTTCGGGATTATTCCGAAGTACACAACTACAAACCTACCGTGGAAAGGACTCAGCACCTTCAAGTTACAAGGCCAAGCACGCCTACTACTTTAACACCTGAACAGGAATCCGCAGGCCGAAAAATTCTCACTTCTGTAGATTTTGTAGTGATTCTATTAGTGATTTAGATTCGTCACGAAATCTACATTCCCATGAATCAATATCTCCAAAATTAAAATCATGTGAATAAAATCAACTTATTGAAATCCTCTTTTATGAGATTTTGAAATGTTCGAGTCAAGCATATAGGTCACCATACTAGATGTTGGTGTTGTGCAGGAAATGATTTACACTCACTGGAGTGCGAATCCAGGACCTTCCGGCTGCGGTGTTTGCAAGTAGACAGTCTAGTCACTAGGGCCCCATCCAATGACCCATGAATACCAATTCGTGATATTAGCATGACCACCAGCCATTGTCGTCCGTGAGTGTTTATTCTCACACTCGACCTAAAGCACCCCACCTGTCACAACTTCTCCCTGGGACTCCTGGCAGCTGCGTCCAAGAGGTAGTCACAACGGGGTACCAGACTAATTTTCAAGAGCCGAGGAGTTCCAAACTAGGATGAAGCAACTCTACGGTACTCCCTTCTAATTTTCAATAGTTCTCTAACCAACATCAGTCCATGATCAAACTTGAAACAAATTCAGTCTCTAAAAATTAGGTCTTGAAAGTTATTAATCGAATTAGTATATTCATATACACTGGATTAGACAAATCATACATCAGATTCTACTGTATCATACGTAAATGTTATCAATCTGTTTAATGATTAAGTGTGAATTATAAAACCGTAGTATGGTTTGTAAGGTATCAGATAAGACAGATGCCAAACTGATTGTACTGAAATAGATCTCTGGCTTTAGATCATTTCAGGCTAGCTAGCTTGGATCACTGTTTAATGTGAGTGTGTTCCAACTATTGAGATCAGCCAGTGGAGTATACAGCCAGACTAAAGTATGTTTGACTAGATCAGATTTTAAGCATTCTGTTTCACTCTTCTAGTCTCAGCTTTAACAAATTATTGGCTTTTAGTGTTATACTTCTTTGTATGGACGTGGTACTAACATATTATCTAAAGCTTTCTGACGGCTATTCATTGGTGAAATCCTTTGTATTTGTTTAGTTAGCTAACAGTGATATATCCAAAGACGAATGTCACATTGTCAGTGAGTATTTGAGAGTAATCGGCTAGAAGTCCTACAGCAGTGACGAGCTTCCTAGCTTACAGAACACTTCAGTAGGACTGCTGAACATAATGGCATTTGCTAGCAGAATAACTCACTAGTCAAAGTGATGTGCATTTATGGTCATATACAGACACCTTATATTGAAATCTCCACATGCAAATGTTCTCCATATCGTACTTCTTTTGTCTTTCTTTCATGCTTTCTATGTTGTCTCCTACAAGGATCTTCCATTTCACCTCTTCCTCATTCGCCGTGTTACTCCATTATTCGAGAATTTTGTAGAAGACACAACACTCAATGTACTACTTACAAATCCCTATCAGTAGCACTTACCACATAAAGATTAAGTCCATGACAATGACTGCTGTATATTAACCTATCCATGCGTCTTGTTTTCTTATTATTTTATGGAATTACTGCCAGAATGAAACTGTTCCCATTTCAGACTGTTCTCGATCTGATATACAACCGAAACCTCATTTCAATGTAATAACTTTGCATTAAATATAGGCTTAGATATGTTTTTTTAAAAAAGAAATGATCTTTGTAAAAACATAAGCCTTTCTGTTTCTGCTTTCCTCTCTTCCAGTTTTCGCTTTCAGTGAACATTATTACTTATTGTTGGCTGCTAGAGCTGTTCAAGGAATGGGTTCAGCTTGTTCTAGTGTAGCAGGTTAGTAGAAACAGATGAACATAAAGTATTTTGTCTTACACTTCTTTCTCGGCTTCTTTAAAAAGTATATAAACTTTAAATGCTGCTGACTCACGTGAGGACTTATGTTGCTTAAGACAAGACTGACTGTTATCACCGTTGGTATTTGTGGTAATTGTGGTGGACTGGATTATGCGTCAGACTGTGCACACGGAGTGAGTAAACAGGAATACGCCGGACCGCCAATCAGAAGACTCTATACGATGTTGGTTTTGCAGATGATATATATCTAATGTCACACAAGCTCGAAGACTTACAGGTGAACACCAACAAACTGTCAGAAGAGGCAAGCAGTGAGGACAGGACTGCAGGTGAACATAGAGAAGACGAAGGTGATTAGGATACCCAACGAACCGCAACGGCAGCCAGCACCAATCGACGGGGAAGATTTGACAGAGACTACCTCCCTCACCTATCTAGGAAGCATCGTTTCAACCACAGGCAGTGGGCATGGATGAAGATGTCAAAGCCAGCCAGTGAGAATCGGAAAGGCAAGATACGCCTTCATCAACCTGAAACCAGTTAAGAAATCCTCCTCACTCATCCAGCGTAAAGAACAAGAATCGGATTTTCAGCACAAATGTGAAGTCGGTCAGTGCTTCTATACTGGTCAGAAAGTTGGCGTATCATGCAGGGGATTTCCAACTAGCTACTGCAGAATTTTATCAACAGCTGCATTCACTTGCTCCATACTTAAGTTCAAATGACCAGAAAGAATTATTATTATTGTTCCCTTGGATTCCTAGTGGAACATAGGGCTTCAACTGCACACCTCCACTTTCTTCTGTCTTCTGCTGTATTTTTCACTTGCATACATGTTAATCCATATTGTTTCAGCTCCTCTTCACACAATCTCCTCCATGTCACCCTTGGAAGTCCCACTCGCCGCTTCCCTTTCAGGTTCCACTCGAGCAATGGCCTGAAGCGCGATGTCACCCAACGGCCTCCTCAGCGAGTGTCCAATTCATCTCCACTTTCTCCTGCATATTTGTTGAGCGATTGGTTCTTGTTTCATTTGTCCCCATAGATTCTTGTTGGGGATTCTTTCCGGCCATCTGATCTTCACTAGTATGGAGCGAAGACAGTTGCTGATGAAGGTCTGCAACAGACTGTTGGAAATATTCTTTGTGACCCACCAAGTTTCTGATCCGTATAAAACAACTGACTGACTTGACGTTTGCATTGCAAATCCGAATTTTGTTGTTGATGCTGAGTGACGGCGGAAGATTTCCAGATTGGTTTCAGGTTGATGAATGTGTTTCTCTCCTTCCCGGTTCTCGATTTGACATCCTCGTCCGTTCCTCCTGTAGTTGAGACAATGCTCCCTAGATAAGTGAAAGAAGTAACTTCGTTCAAATCCCTGCCGTTGATGGTGACTGGCTCTGGATGTTGCTGGTTGGTTATTTTCATAACCTCCGTTTTGTCTATGTTCACCTGGATTCCTGTCTTCTCTGGCTGCTTCTTCGACCAGTTTGTCGGTCGGTTTTCGCTTGTAAGTCTTCGATCTTGTGTGACATCAAACATAAATCATCCGTGACATCCAGAAAGAATTAGTAACCAGAAACTCAGGCTGGGAATAAACGAACTGACAGCCTGTTGTTCCGAAAAAATGTGGGAGAAAATGGAGGTCAATTGATCAGGTATACTCTTAGGAAACCATCGAATAACGTCGCGCGTAACACAGACCATTGCTCAAGTGGAATGCAAATGAGAAGTGACAAGTGGTTTTTCGGTAGAAGGGTCACTTGGACGAGAACGTGTGGCGAGGAGGAGATGAAAGGTTATGGGCAGTCATGGACCCAGCTGAAGAGGACAGTAAATAATAGGCGAAAGTGGAAATGTGTTACTGAAGCCCTATCTTCCACTCGGGACCCAAGGGAATAATAATACGTTACTTTACGTCCAAATTCTGGAGACGTTAGAACATGCACAGCTTAATAATGCAAACTACAATAACTGGCAGGGTTATGAAGAGAAACCTGCAGTCGTAAACTCATCCAATAAGTAATTTTATACAGCACTGTGCTACACCATAATAAACGAACAAATTTGATGCTGTAATCCAATACGTTACTCGAGTTTAATTCATGGGCCATTGGTTGAATGGTCTACAACCTTGCCTTATAACTGGATACCCCTGTGCCCAGCTTCCAGTAGGTGCGTGTTGACGAAGCATCCCAAAACTAGGAGGATACAGATATCGACTACTCTCAGCTGGTTTTCATTGGTTCAGTAATTAATATCAATCCGTGGTCAAACTGGAGACAAAGAAAATCCCTATAAAATAACTCTTAAAGATGCATATATAGTCAGTTAGAATTGAATTAATCGGCACCAGTGTCTGATCCACAATTTTGTGTAAGGGTTGAAATGGATGCAGCGAAGTTCATTACTGGAGACCGGTTAGTTTGAAGGCAGGTGTTTAATCGAATCCTACCTCCCCTCCAGTCTTGATGAACGTAAGATTAAATTGTAGCCAATAGTGTGTGACAGACAATATTTATCCGACAAAAGAGAAAATGAGCAAACAAACAAAATTGGGATATGCGGGATCTAATTTCAAGGGATGACAAATAACGATAATGATGATAAGATAATAAGACAGGTGTGGTGAAAACACGGTGGTGCCAGTGGCGAATAACTATCAAATAATGAAGAATTTATTGCAGAACACAGAAAAGGAATCTGTGAATGGAGTTAGAAGAGTAATACATAATGAGTTATCATGGCGTAATACAGTTAATATGAATGGCCATGAATTTGTAAAATGTCTAAAATAAAAATTCGCTGGTGAAACAAGGAGATTTGTTAGGATTAGATTTATTTTTACGAGTTGATCACGGATCGATTTCATCAGTTAGAGGACCATCAAAAAGCCACCAGGGAGTACTGGACAGCTGTTCCATCTTAGTTTGGGAATCATCCGCAGTACGCACCCGCTACACAAGTGGTTCGAACCCAGGACCTTCCAATTACAAGGCAAGCTCGTATACCATTCAGCCACTGGGACCCGATTCAATGGCCCATGAGTTTTAGCTTCTACTAATTCATGATTTTAGTGCGATCACTAACCAATGTCATTGGCGGATTTCTTGGAGTTTTTTGTGAGAACTGGCGATCTGTGAGGTCCATCCAATCTGCAGTCAGGATGGATTTTCCGTTGATCACACTGGTTGGTGGTCGCTCTATAATAATGAATCGGTAGAAGTTAGAACTAATGGGCCATTGAATCGCGTCCCAATGGCTGAATGGTATACGAGCTTGCCTTGTAATCGGAAGGTCCTGGGTTAGAACTCCGCTCAGTGTGTGTGCGTACTGCCGATGATTCGCAAACTAGGATGAAGCAGCTGTCCAGTAACTCCTTACTGGTTTTCAGTGGTTCTGTAAATAATACCAATAATCCGTGGTCAAACTCGGGAAACAAGCAGAGAAAAAAAATGATCAGGGAATTATACTTTTAATTTTCTATGTTTATATGCCATTTATTGATTCTGTTGTAGATTAAGTGGCTTAGCACATTTTCTCATGAAACATAGGGATATTTTTCAGGTAATGCTTGTTATAACTTCAGCTACTGATAAGAGATACAGTCAAGTTTTTCTGTAAATACTGTAGATAATCAAGTATGCCTGCTGCGATGTAATCCAATGTTAAGACAACGGCATTTTCTAGAAAGATCATCCACCTCGAAGAGCCAATTTAGTTGAGAGAATTTCTACAAATCTTTACACACATAATTAGACAACCATTTCCTCCAGTTACAAGACTAAGCTCTAGACTGAATAACGGAAGTTTTGAGATTAATTAGAGGCATACAAAATTCGAGCATACATATTAGGTGAGAGTTACAAATCGTTTGTGGTTCGATGTAATTAACCATGATAAGTTCAAGGGAGGTCAAATATTTAAGTTAAGGCTACAGGTAAGTAAAAGCAAACCAAAAGTAAAATTGGAAACTAAAGCGTAAAATTAAATTTTTTTACAGGGGACGACTAATGAAGAGGCTAAGGCCATAGTAGAATAAGAGACTGGACAAACATTTTCTGTATACAGAGTTAGGGATTGTATTGACGAATCGCTAACGCCTCCGCCACACAAACGTCGGCACCTTACACCCTTTGTACCATTCGGCCTCACCTGGTAGATAATCTTGAAGGACGACTCTGGTGAAACTGCATGGCTTGGGTTCACCAAGGGTTCGAGAATTCAGCTATTAACTTTCTTGCATTGTTCTTTTGCTGACCATGTCGGACAATGTTTAGAGATGCTTTTGTAAAGAGTGCTCTTTGTGAGGTCAATATAACTAGCTCCACAGGAGCAGGTGAATTTATGAAAACACATTGAAGCGGCCCAAAGCGGCAGTTTGTCCTTTACAGATCCATTGATCATTTGTGGCTGTAGAAATCGATCCGTAGCTAAACCACGAAAAATGCTTTCCTCAGTGATCTGCATGAGCAATCCTTCAGGACCTCGGCTGCCATCAAATCCAACTCAAAATTTTCTCAGTGTGTTGTAAAAAGGTTGACAACAATCTCATTTTGTCTAAACGCCACCGTTTCACCGACTAGAGATAGCTTATACTATTTACTAGCGTACAACTTACGCACTTTTCATTTACAAGTCTCTTGTCAGGTGGTCAGAGATGTGGTAGACAGGTTGATGAAGTTGGAAGTAATATGAAAGTAGGATTTGCCAACCAAAGATTATTTCAGCAAGCGATAAGTCCTGTGAAGTTTAACTCTGACAGTTTTTTGATTCCTACCAAAGCAGTGTTAATTCTGTGACTGATCCTTGCGGACACTTCAACGCCTCTTCATCTCTGGTCTTAGAAAACTCGTTTCCTGTCAAGTGTGTCGAATTTGCCTGTCATAAGTGGTATTATTTTGCAGTTTTGGAGGATACGCAGTGTTTCGTAGGCAACATTAGCAACTTCCTCATCAACTATTCCATTTAAATGCTTTTCATTGCTAAAGAACATATTGCAGCCTCGTCTACTTTACCAGTTCACTAGTTTTTGAGCCTATCCTACGCCCAGCAAAAGAAAGGAAGGTTGACAGTGAAGCTAGAGACCCTACCCTCGAACATCAGTCAGACTGCTACAGAAAAATTCAAAACACAACAAAAGATGCGAAAAACAAACTTATTCTTCGATGGAATCAGAGAGACGAAATGACGCCTGACTTTGGCAAGAGCTTTCAGGAAGTCAGTCATCCTATATGTCTTCTTTCTTTGATAACAAAACTAAGCATGGAAACATAGAATATCCTTAAAATTAATGAGGAGATATGGCAAGGAAGTGCTACAAATCTGTGATGGTAGGCGGAATGAAAGCAGACTGTCTAAGCTGTTAACTGGAGTACCAGTAAACTATTCTCGTTACTAAGACAACAACCAAGAGAATATTGATGGATTGGATGTCTTAATATGACTGACAGCAGGAAAGGCTCCTATTAATCCGTTTGAAAATCTGCAGCGCTTAGCGTAAATGAAAAAATTCGGATTTTCAACACCAAAGTTAAGTTAGCCAGTTCTTCTGTATGGGTCAGTAACTTGGCGTATGCGTCACGAAGAGCACTTGCGATAGGCTACTTCAGACTCTGATCAACAACCACCTTCTATATGATATTAGATAGTTGGGGGCAGTTGGCAGGAAGCCCTGAACCTAGGTTTCGTGCTAGTTGGCACTAGTCAGCAAAGCGTATCTGCAACCATGAAGGAACTCATGTCCCTTTCGAGATTTAAACCCGCATCACCCAGTGAGTGCTGCAGTCAGAGAAGTCACCACTGAGCTATTCGGGCTCGCGATTGACCTCCTGTAGGACTGTAGTGGGTGTTTTGATTGGGCACTAGTAACTGGTGTGACGTGTCTAGTCCTTTATTTGGTGCGAGCCAGAATAGCTCAGTTGCGGTAACGTCTCTGACTGCAGCAGTGGCTGATGTGGGTTTGAATCTCAGAAGAGACATGCGTTCCTTCAAGATTTCAGATACGCCTTGATGACGAGTGCCAACTAGTACGAAACCTAGGTTCAAGGCTTCCTGCCAACTGCCTCCAACTATCTAATATGTGCACCGTGATGGCGAGCTACCTAGAATGGTGGCCACATTGCAAACCTGATTGACTGATAGAATTCAGTCTGCACCAAAGAAAGGACTGGACACATTACACCCGTTACAAGTGTCCAATCAAAATACCTTCTGTATATCTATAATGAAGATTAAATGACCAGAAAGGATCACCATCAGGGGATTCTGGTAACCATCCAATCAGGAAGCTATCGCCACACAAGTATACCGAGGAAAATGAAAATGCACTAGACCCAAGCTGAAAAGGCCACTGAGTAATATTACGCACTAGGCCCTTGACTGGAATTTGAATAAGGAATGATGATTTGACCGTCCAAAGTGGGCCATGGAGGAGATCCTGGAGCCAGCTAAGGATGACTGAAGAAAAGAGGATGTTACACTCAAGAACCGCAGGATTAACGACATTCTTTTCAAAACAACTAATGTTTTAAATTTTGACCTTTCCTACATATAGAACATTTCCGCTAATGTTTTACCTCTATTTGCCTTTTGCAGGTATGGGAATGTTGGCAACTGCTTTCACTGATGACAAAGAAAGGGGTCGTGCTTTCGCTTTCGCTTTAAGCGGTTTAGCTTTAGGCGTAATGAGTAAGTCAAGTGATTACAAAGTTGTTGTATTGATTTTTTTAAATTTCAACAGTCTGTCAACCTCCTTCAATCACCTAACATTCATTATTTTAGTGTTCATCGCGATGGTGGGTAACCTACCTAGCTTCGGTGACTACATTGCAGTACTCACTAATGGAATTCGGTCTGCACCTACACTGAGGACTAGACACATGACATTGGTTACCACCTATCGTCCAGTCAAAGTCCTACAAGAGGTTAATCGCTAGCCCGGATAGCTCAGTGGTTACTTCTTCGACTGAAGCAGTGGGTAACCTGTGTCCGAGTCTAAAAAAGGGGGGGAATCCTTTGAGAATACAGAGGTACCCTGCTTCTTCCTGATCGCCTTCCACCATCTAACAGTTGTTACCAAACTCAGAATCTGAATATCGATTTCCAACTCACTAGTGTCTGTAAGACAGTGGATGTCCTGAAGTTTGAAATGACAAGTCGCGCATGGTGAAGTCACGATTTGGCAGTTATTTGGCAGCCGTAGCACTGTTCTGTGAACTAACAGATACTGGAATTCACAAACGTTCGGCTTCCATCGCTGAATGGTAAACGGGCTTGGTCCAAACCCTCGTCTCATACTAGGATGAAACCGATATCTGCTGCCCCCTTGCTTTTAATGGTTCTCTAAATGATAACAATTCATGACGACTTAATTACCACGGAAATTCATCCCAATGCTTGCAAGTCAGAATTGTTATGTCGTTTCAAACAGACTTATTTTACTGTATGAATAACAATGAGCTCACTTACTTCTCCACTGAATAACTCTGCTGTATACACATTAAAGTATTATATTGTATTATTGTTGTTGCTTTGGATTCCGAGTGGAGCATAGGGCTTCAGTAGCAAATCTCCGCTCTTTCTTATTTTCTGCGGTCCTCTTTGACTTGACCCATGATTACCATAAAACTCTTATCTCCTCTTCGCATGATCACCTCCATGTCACTGACGAAGCGATGGCCTGGCACATGATGTTATTCAACGATCTTTTAAGAGTGTGCTCAATCTATCTCTATCTATCTATCTCTTTAGTGGCATAATTTTCGAGCAACGGGGTCTTGGTTTGTTTGTTCCAGAGTTTCTTGCCAATTCTTTCTGACTGGCCATCTGGTCATAACTATGGAGTCCGTGAAGTCATCCATTGATAAAAGTCTGCAGCAAGCTGTTCGAAATGCTTCTCGTGATGCCAATGACAAGATTTTGACCTATATAGAAGCAGTCCTGCCTGCAGTTCTGCCTTGCCTGTACGATTCCGGCTTTCATATCCTCATCTATTCCACCCGTGGTTGTGACAGTGCCTCCTAGGTAGATAAGTAAAGGAAGTAACCTTTGTCAAATAATAATAATAATAATAATAAAAACAGTACTTATAACACAGAATGGAGTTCTCAGCATTTGTCACAATATTCAATCTGATTTCCTCAAAATATAAATAAAATTGAAACATAATTAACCGGAGGAATTTGTCCACATTTGCGGTACAAAGTCAAAAATATTCGAAGTACAAAATGGGAATAAAAAATATAATAATAATAACAGTGAGTTTGTTTCAAACAGTATTGTTTCAAATTGGAAATTTTAGCATGTTATAGAGTATTGAATCTAATGTCCTGTTGATATAGTATGGTGACGGGAAAGACAAAATTAACACTTATAACACAGCTTAAGTGATATTTACACTTTTGCGAAAATAAACAAATAAAAACAAAAAATTGCAAGGATAATAAATATAAGAAGAACAATAACAATTAAGCTTGGTGGAATAAGGACAGTAAAAATGGTTTATTTACTAGCGGTACAAAGGATGGTTAATTAGTTCGTGCCTAACACTATTTTCATCACATAAAACATATGGAATTGTGGAATTTTTATACTTAAACGTACGTGCATAAAGTCTTTTGGAATGACTTCTTGTTCTACCTGAGGAGGGAAAACAAGATTGGAGTTGCGTGGAAAGTGGATGCTCACAGTCTGACAACTCATCACCTTTGTTACTGTCCTAGCACTTAATTGTCTTGACTTATATTACCAACCTTTACCTGTTTAGTTAAAATAACCTTAAGCAATTGTAATTCTTGTATCCACTTAGATCTCTTACATAATTTCTACTTTGTTTCTATGTGCATCCTGAGTAAAACTCACTATTATTATTACAACTGTTTGTGACAACTCATCACCTTTGTTACTACCCTAGTTTCACAAACACTTAATTTTCTTGACCTGTATTACCAACCTTCACTTGTTTAGTTAAAATTAACCTTAACCGATTGTAACTTTGTTTGACAAACTTAATGTACACATACATACAAAACAATGCATATATATTTGCGATTGTACAGCTAAGAAGATGAATTCGCCGAAAAGAGACTCTTCGCTGATCTACGTGTTTTGTTTTCATTAATTTAATACAAAACACAGTAAAGGAATCTATGAATGGAGTTAGAAGAATAATACATAATGAGTTATCATGGAGTAATACAGTTAATATGAATGGCCATGAATTTGTAAAATGTCTAAAATAGAAATTCGCTGGTGAAACAAGGAAATTTATAAGGATTAGATTAATTTTTACGAGTTGATCACAGATTGATTTCATCAGTTAGAGAACCTTTGAAAACCCACTAGGGGAGTACTGGACAACGGTTTCATCGTCGTTTAAAATTCATTAGCAGTACGCACCCACACCATGCTGGGTTTGAACCCAGGACCTTCCGGTTACGAGGCGAGCTCGAACACCATTCAGCCACTGAGACCCGATATAATGGCCTATGATTTTTAACTTCCACCAATTCATGATTTTAGGGTGACGGACAGCAGCAACATTCAGCGTCAAACACCATCAACGGGAGGGATTTCAAACAGGTTACTTCATTCACTTATCCAGCGAGCATTGCCTCAACTACAGGAGGAACGGACGAAGACGTCAAATCAAGAATCGGGAAGGCAAGAAACACACTTATCAACCTGAAACCAATCTGGAAATCTTCGTCACTCAGCATCAACAACGAAATGATTCGGATTTTCAGTACAAACGTCAAGTCAGTCAGTTCTTCCATACGGATCAGAAACTTGGCGAGTCACAAAGAATATTTCCAACAGCCTGTTGCAGACCTTCATCAGCAACTGTCTTCGCTCTATACTGAAGATGAGATGGCCGGAAAGAATCACCAACAAGAAACTATGGGAACAAACAAAACAAGAACCAATCGCCCAACAAATATGCAAAAGAAAGTGGAGATGGATTGGACACTCGCTGAGGAGGCCGTTGGATGACATCGCGCGTCAGGCCATAGCTCAAGTGGAACCCGAAAGGGAAGCGGCGAGTGGGACGTCCAAGGGTGACATGGAGGAGATCGTGTGAAGAGGAGTTGAATCAGTATGGATTAACATGGATGCAGGTGAGAAGTACAGCAGAAGACAGAAGCAAGTGGAGACGTGTAGTTGAAGTCCTATGTTCCACTAGGAACCCAAGGGAACAATAATAATAATAAACGGTGATCTGTAAGTCGATCGATAAAAGAATAAATCGATTAAAGAAATTCAAATACACTCAACTATGCACCCCTAAACATCTAATATAATCATGATATGCTTTAGAAAAAGACTGACACTTGATACCGAAATGTGCTGACAACACACGGTACCAACATATACCATTCAAAGTTAATGGATAATTATACCGCTAATTGCTCCTACCAGTTAAATTTTCTAAATCTCTAAATCAAATAATCTTTTGTGACACGGCTGATTTACTCAGAATTATTCTGAGTTTTCAACTGTGCATACGAGAGATACTCACGTATCGACTGATTATTATGTAATATATATATATGACGAAGACTTGACTGTCCTGCACGTTTTGACCGAAAAATCGATGATAAGCTTTTGAGTAGTATGAATGTAGCCGAATTCCGGAAGTGATTCACGTCCACATAAGCCGGTGTACAGGCAATTATGCGTACGTGCACATGTGCTTTGATATGGCTGTGTTATCTGTGCTACCTGGTTTAAGTGCGAAACTTCCTTTGTCCTTCTAGACAAAATTATCAGAGCGAACGTCAGTATGAAGTGATCTTATTTAAATTCCCTATGAATGATATAACTATATCACCTGACAACCAGTGTCATGATGAATGCTTGTTCATTTGCGTCAGTATAGATCGTCATTTGTTGTGACCTGAAGTATGCCTTTATCAGTCGATAAATCTGATCTATACACAATGATTTGTCTAGCTACCAGGCTTCTAGGAAATTTTCTAAAATTTTTAGGATTTCTGCTTGTTGAAATTTTTATGTGCTTCTCAGGCATACTGTTGTCCATAGTTTTCTGCATGTATATCAACATGAACATAGAGAAAACAGAGTTGATGAAAATTCCTGGCCAACAGCAACAACAACAACAGATAACAACCAGCATAAATGAGAGGGATCTGAAAGAAGCATCCTCCTTTACCTACTGATTTTAGAAGCATCGTTTCAACTACAGGTGGATGGAACTGATGAGGATATCAAAGCGATGATCAAGAAAGCAAGGCAAGCTTTCATTTCTCCCCAAGTCTGTGCGGACATCAACAGCACTCAGCATGAAAAATAAGATTCGGATTTTCAACTCCATAGTGAAGTCAGTCAGTGCTACTATAGGGATTAGAGACTGGGTGCGTCACGAAGGGCATTTCGAACAAACTACATACCTTCGTCAACAGCTGTCTTTGCTCAATACTCAAGATCAAATGGCCAAAAAAGATCAGCAACAGGGATCTCTGGCAATGAACAAACCAACCTAATTTAGCAGGACTCGACTGTGCCACAAATATGCAGGAAGAAATGGACGTGGATTGGCCATACTCTGAGAAAACCATCAAGCGAGTTACATCACACTCCAGGTTATCGCTCGAGTGGAACCCGAAAGGGAAGCGGCGAGTTGGTTGTCAGTTCAAGGGTGACTTGGAGGAGGTCATGTGAAGAGGAGA